TCAACTCAGCAGCGACAGGGATCATTTGCATTTTTTAAAAGTCTCAGTCTGATGATATTTCAGCCCCACTCAATGTCACATAGCTTCCCATCATGCTTGGAATAAAATCCAAAGTGCCTGTCATGTTCTTTAAGACCCTAACCTCATTTCCCACCGTCCACCTTGTTCACTGTGGTCCAACCTCACTTTCGCCCTCACAGTTCCTCACACAGACACTTGTCTCAGGGCCTTTGCATTTGCTGTTTCCTCAGCTGGTGAACACTGTCTCCAGACAGCCACATGATTCATTACTTACATTCTTTCTACCTCTCCTCATCCCCTCATGTTCTTTGGGTCTCTGTGCAAACGAGACTATCAGAGCAGCCTCCCTGACCACTCTGTCCAAAAGAGCCTTTCACTTATTTCTGTCACTGTCCATACTCTTACCCTGCCTGAATTTTCTTTATCTACCTATCATTACACGATATGACATTATACATTTATTTCTTATCGGTTACTTCCCAGCAGAATACAAGTTCCATGAGTGCAGAAATTCTGTTTCGATCTTATTCTAGTCTCAGCACCTGGATGCACACATAGCTCAGGATAGGCATTTAATGAATATTTGTTAAATGAACAAATTCATCTTTGTATGCCCTCTTGTTTCTTGCCAAGTTCTTTGATCATTATAATAGATGCTGAAAAAAGGATTTCCTAAATTGAATTTTATGTACATATCTAATATTTTATAACATAATCTCCAAAGGAAAAATAACCACGAAAAGCCACTTTTTCAAGAGAAATAAAGGCTACAAAGAAGTCATCACAATTCTGCTTAGCCTCTCATCATGCAGTTCTGATATGATGGATGTCTCTGGAGTGCAAAATGCATCAACTGAATGTTCCAGGAAGGAGTTCAGAAACAACTCCAGGCAGGCCACACTGCCTCTACAGACAGTGCACTGGGACAGGGTACACGAGTGGATGTGGACAGCACCAAGGTGACTGCCAGCCATGATGCCCTGCAGTTAGGTAAATCCAGCTTCAGCAGATATACTTAAAGCCTAAAGCCTACAGCCTTGTTCAGTCCCACCTAAGTTTTTCTTCTCCTTAATGCATTTCTCTCACTTTCCGAGTAGTGGTTTCTTAGAAGGAGACTTTTTATCTTTTGTTTCTAGGTTTTTATTATTAGAGGAAGGAAAAAAAACTCAAAATAAAAATAAACATATAGGCCAGGTGTGGTGGCTCATGCCTGTATCCCCAGCACTTTGGGAGGCTGGGACAGGTGGATCACTTGAGGTCAGGAGTTCAAGAACAGCCTGGCCATGGTGACACCCTGTCACTACTAAAAATACAAAATTAGCTGGGCATGGTAACACACGCCTGTAATCCAAGCTACTTGGGTGGCTGACACAGGGGAATCGCTTGAACCCAGGAAGTGGAAGTTGCAGTGAGCTGAGATCGTGCCACTGCACTACAGAACAGAGAGGCTCCATCTCAAAATAAATAAATAAATAAATAACCACATTATCTCTAATCACCCACTCTCTCTTATCTCAAAAACAAGAGGGCAGTTTTAAAAATTCATCTCTTTTTGTCATCCAATGTATGTAACAACACAAATGCAAATGTCTGGAATTAAGTTTATTTCATTTAAACTAATTAAATACTAATCTTTATACAATAATTTTAAATGATAATTTTCCTTTGGAATTTCCTTGAGTCCCTCTCTTTTTATACCAACTCCCTAAATGCAGTAGCACCAACAGTATCTTTTAACCTGAAAACACAAATATTAATCATAGTGAATCCTTTTTGGTTCTTAGGTTGTGTTTCCTGCATAGCAGATGAGAACATTTTCTAAGACAGTGGTTTTTGAATCTTGTCTTCATATTAGAATCATTGCAGAACTTTTAAAAAACACCAATGCCCATGCCCCACCCAAGACCAAATCAGAATCTTGGAGGGTTGGACCCAGCAATAAGAACTTCTTTTTAAAGTTCCCCTGGTGACTCTAATGTACAGCCATAGGTGAGAACCAAAGCTCCTAGCAGATAGAACTGTGAGTCACAAAAAGATAGAGCGGTGACAGGAATAGTAGCAAGAGGAAGCTGACCCCAAATTTAGATTTTGTTATGGTTAATCCACAGAGATCATCTCCCTGTGGCTAATTTGTTGGCTTGAATAATCTGTTACAAGACTGGATATAGTGATTGCTTTAGACAATAAGGATATGATTCAAAATAGAAATAAATTTAGTAGAAACTCAAGATACTTTAAAGAAATTATTAGTCAAAGATCAAATTTACTCACAGTATCTTCTTTAGCAGTTTATGGCTTAAGAAATTCTATATTTGCAATATATTCTTTCCCTCTCCTGCCTCTTACTGTAATTAATGCTGCAAACTCAAGGGAGAGGAAAAAGTCCTTACTCGATTTTTGTAAGAAGTGATTTCCTAAATGGTTTCTTATGTTGGTGGGTCATGAAAAAGGTTGAAGGTGGTTGGGATTCAAGATACTGTTGGGAATCTAGACATTCTACAAAGAAACAGAGAGGAAACCTAGGCCTCAATAAAGAGGTAAAGTAAGGCAAAAAAAAAAAAAATATATATATATATATATATATATATCTAGGCAGCCAAGATGCAACAGGAATGGACAATGGGTATTGTCTAATTTCAGGGACACTGTGGAAACATTCTGCTTACATACGTGAGTCTGGCATAATATTTTTATTACATTAAATTTTTCCATCCCACTGCTTATAAGAATTTCCAAATTGAGCATTATTTGGTCAAAAATAGAAAGGTGATGCTAAAGAACAAGCTTATAGTCTATAAATGCTACAACATAATTATAATCTGGATAAAGAGATATAAATTGGTTTGGCGGAGAAAACCTTGACTAAACTGATAGTATGTTGTCCATGACTTCTGTAACATAAATATATCCTTCCCCAGTTCTGTCAGTTCCTGCATACTTTACTTTATAAAATGTATTTTGTTCAGGTACATTTTCAAAACAACTGTTGCCAAGATCTGAACTGGCACTGAAAAAAAATGATTATTTTCAGGAGAGAGAGAGAGAAAGAAAAGAGAGAGCAGAAATCTTAGTATGCATAAAGCATTGTAATTGCTTCAAAGTAATTAAAAAAATCAATGTCCCAATGATTTCAGTTTACTTTTTCTGCCAAATCATTCTTCAAACTGCCTGAAAATTGTGAAGCAGCTTTTCGTAATAAATTATAATTTGTTAATGTTTTGATATTAGCCATTTACTGATGTGTGTGCATGTGTGCATATCTATGTATATATAGATATAGATATGAAATTTATTAGTGCTTGAACCACTATCTTAAAATAATTAGCAATGTTTCTCCAACTATAACAACTTCTAAATGATGAACTAACATACAATTTCTAAATCATTACTACCGGTTGGTACTTATCTTTGACATTATTGACTTAAATTCTAAAAAAACAACAAAGTGATGTTTCTAAAACCCTGAGATTTCTTTTTTAAATTCCTGAGCATTAAGAGGATCAACTTACAACATCTGTCTTTGAAACGTTATCACCTCTTCAAGATCTCTAACATTATACTCTAAAGTCTATATCCTTAGTCCTATAGTAACTGCTTATGTATTATCGATATTTTTAAGGTAAATAAATATTCATATGTCAACAGGAGCATTTTTTTTTTCTGAGAGGAGTTATCTATATTTTTTAAAATAATGTTTTAAAATTGTCTTAAATTCAAGAATTTACTGTTCAGGAGGTAAGATCACAAGTTTTATTGCAGAGTGATGGTAAGCTTGTTTTAAATACTATTACAATATTAATATAGAATGTTTTTGTTGAATTAATACAAATATATCTTGTTACAGTTAACAGAAAGTTTTCCTGTGTACACAAGATTAATTCCCTTCTGGACTAGTTTTCTGCTTGATCCCTCAAAAAAATGAAAAATGTCAGTAACTTTTTAAAAAACACATACCTTTACTTTGATAGTTAAGCAACAAGGAGAGTAGAAAAGATCAAGGGAAGGAAAAAAGAGAACCAGAACCAGGTGCACTACAAAGCTCAATTAGTTCACAGGCTAAGGACACTGCTTTTTATAAGTTGTTTTTCTCCATTGGGAACAATTTTCTGAGACTTCCTCTCTCTGCTCTCCATCCCCGGAGTCCTAACCAGGTTTTATCTTTTTTTTTTTTTTTTTTCTTTTTCTTCTTGCTTGCTTTCCAGACCAAAAGAAGTTGTCAGAGAAGTCATATTAGGTACATTTCACTGAAGGTTTTCTATTTTCAGTAAGTTTTACTGTTCTCCAGGCGATTTCTGGCTGTCCCTAAACACAAAGGGACACTAGGCTCCCTGGAGACTCTTTTGAGAATCTATTTCATGAAAACTAGGAGCCCTCTGTACTTCTTTCTCAAAAAGGACCAGCAACATTTCACATTTGATTCCAGGTCGTTTGTGAAGCCACAAAAGCTTATCTTTGAACCTCAAGTTAAAAATGTCTGTGTAGAGCGAAAAGCTAAGGAACTCTCTCTCACAACTTTAGAGGGTCTCCTCGACCTTTCAAGGAAGGTCATTCCAGCCGAGTTCCAGATGCGACCAGCTGAAGCTCGGACCTTGACCGTGTGCTGGAGCGGGTGGATCCCCGCTAACCACTGGCTTAAAATGCAGGAAAAGTTAACTTTCTGGGCTCCTTGCACTTCTACAAAGCCGGTCCGGTAGGCGCAGGACCCGGACTGGGTCGAGGCCTCAAAACCTGACGCCAGGCAACACAGGTGTCCAAATGAGCCTCAGGGTACCACTGGTCGTCGCGGGTAAACCCACCTCAAAGAGCAGAGCCCTGAGGCTCCTTGATGTATTCATTCCTGGTTTGAGAACAGCCTATGCCACCTGGTCACCTCCTAGCAATGCGATCACACGCCGAACCCTCCCTGCGCGAGGTCTAACACCGACGCTGCCCCCAAACCTCCCTCGCGGGGAGCCCCTGGGTGCACGGGGCGTTCTTACCTTGGGGTTGGTCAGGAGCTGGTGCTCGTCGCTGTGCAGCAGCGCCCTGGAGTTGGACTCGGAGTTGTTCACGTAGACCTGGACGCAGGGGTACTGCGAGGTGCCCCTGCAGTCGGCGCCACAGGTGAAGGTGCACTCGAACACCTCGCCGATCTGCTGCACCGACAGCACCGTGCAGTTGGCCGCCGTGGCTTGCAGATTCTGCAGCGCGGGACTGAGCCAGCAGAAGCCGAAGATGAAGAGCGACACGACGCCGGAGATGATGAGAAACAAGCCGAGCCGGATGCTCTTGTCCTCGGCTTCCGTGTACTCGTAAGCCACCCGGAGCTTCGCCATCGCCCCCCACTCTCCGCGGCTGGCGCGCTCCCCCCGCCCCCTCCCGCCCCCGGCGCCGAGCCCGACTGCCTCGGGCGGGAGGAGCCGCAGCCGCCACCGCCGCCGCCGCGCGACAGCAGGGGAGTGGGCGGCGAGGGGGAGCGCGCGAGAACAAAGGGGCTGAGGCCGGCGACGCCCCCGGCGGCGGCAGCGCCCCCCCGCCCCCCAGCCGCCGCCTGGGACCCGCGGTGCAGCGGCCGCTTCAGAGCCTCCGGCACCCTCGGGCGCGGGGAGCGCACGGACCGCTCCAGCTTCCAGCGCCCCCTGCCAGCCTCCGCCCCCGCACTCTCCCCGCCTCCCCCACCCCGCCTCCTCTCGTCGGGTGTCTCTCTGTCTCCATCGCCCGCTGGCTGCTTCTCCGCGGACTCGCCAGGCAGCTGCCCCAAGGGTAGGAGTGCCTGAGTGGGGACGAGCCCGGGGGCTCCCCAGTGCAGGAGGAGGCTCCGCCCCGCCCCGCTCGCCGCCGACCCGGGCCCTCGCGCCCCGCCCCGCTCAGCTCCGCCTCCCCCGGGGGCGTCTCCCGTGGGCGAGGGGCTGGCGGGCACAGGCCACAGCTGCGGTTTGCAATCGGAATCTTCGCTCAATCCCCTTAAAGGGACGTCCGAGATGAAAGATTAAGATCAATATAGCTTAACCGGAGTTAGAGTTTAAAAAATAATAATAATCAGAGGGGAGGGTGGAGTTCAAATGGAGCGGCGGGAATCTTGAACTCCAAATGGGGACTGGTCACCTGCAGGGAGAGCGGCCAGGCTCCGGGCGCACCTCGGGAAGCGGACATGGGTGGCGGTGTGGGAGGACACGGGCCTCCGGACGGGACGGATCGAGGTGAAAGCCTTGGGCTAGCAGCGTGCGCTGGGAGGCCCTCGGGGACGACCCAAGGGTTCCCACGCCGCGGGCGGGTTGGCGCTTGGCGGTGCCGGAGGCGTGACCCAGCCGCGCCCACGCAGCCAGCGCAGCGGCCACAGCTAGCGCAGTAACCGTCCGGCCCCCGGGCCCGGGCCTCCTAACGGTCTAGGCGAAGACCCGCGCCCCCTGGCCTTACTCTGGCCGGAACGGCTGCTGGATTGTATTTAAATAGGGTGAGTCAGGTGGAGTTTGCTGTGGAGGCAACGTGCTTGTGGGCAGGAGGCTGGACTAAGGAAACTTGCCGTCTAGGTCCTCGATAGCCCTTGTGGCAACTTAGGTCTCCTGCAGTCGGCTCGACCCCAACTTGATTTGCCCCCATGGCTGGGGCTAAGCAGAGACCAAAGGAAATAGGTGGAGAGGCTTGCAGCCTGGAAGGAAATACTTTTCCCATCAGAACAGTGCCCTTGTTTCGGAGCTCCTAAGAACAAACTCGTTTCTATCGTTTCCCTCGTTAGGAGTCTTGCCACCCCTGACCCACCCCAGGATTTATGTAGATGAGCTTTCCAGGAGCGCTGTTCAAGGCGACCCGCTTCGGGACAGGTACTCTTTCTAGACCTGCGTTCTGCTCTTAATTCTTGCCGCTGGTCCCTCCACCCCCAATTACGCCAACTATGCTTCAGCCTCTATTTCGCGACCTTTTTTAAAGTTAGAATTACCTTTTCCCAAATTACACTTTTACATAAAATCAAGCTGGAGAACTATTTGTATCTACATTTCGAAGAATAAAATCATAATATTCACTTCCTTGCAAACTATACATAAAACATACATATACATAAATCTTTTTTTGGTTTGTAAATCTCAAATGAATAAACTCTTAATTATGTTCCTGATGAATACGGAAACGGAATCATGGGATTCTTGACTTCTCTTTCCTGAACTTCGAATGTTACTTAACTGGTATTGAGTACCTTTCGACTGCAGTTCTGATACGTTATTTTGAAGCACTACATTACGACAGGTAACAAGTATTTCTAAGCAATGGGCAAATTAATTACAGGAAGATCCTGTCTTTTTCCCAATAAATTAAGAAGATGTAGGGTTTGAAAAACTTCCTAATTATGAAGATGCTTCGTTCTTTAGTATCGTTCAAGTTTTGAGAGAGATTTTCTTTTTAAAATGTAAACGTAGGAATTGTATTCTTTTTTTGTTAGCATAAAGACAATGTGATTACATTACTTGAAAGGTGAGTTTCCTAGTTGAAATAGCATAACCTAAAATCACAAATCTTCTATCTGAATCTTTTTCCTACTGCAGGAAAAATTAAAAAATATAGAAAACATATTTTTTTTCTATCGTTATAATCTTTTCCAAGAAAGCTAAAGCCATGTCTAAGATCTGAAGCAATAAAGAACAAATAACAAGATCCAATTATTGTAGCTCCGTATCATGAAGAACCGAAACTTGAGGCAGAATTAACTCCTTAATGCACAGCAGTTGGGGGACCATCAATAATTTAATGAATATGATTGATTTTTCAATGATTCCACAGCTCAAAGTGTTCTGTGAATGGAAACCTCTGCCTCAAAATTGAAGTACAGTGGTGTGAGTTTAGGGAAGAAAATCAGACAATTCCACCTTATTTTAACTGAAATCCTTAGTTTTAAAATCCATTTTCTTTTATTTATGCATTTAGCCAATTTCTTTCCTGGCAATTATTCTTAAAGTATTTGAAGAAACTTGTGTCTTCTGTTCTTTAGATATTTTTCTCCTGTTTCCCATTTTTAACTTGTTTTCTCTGAACACATTATCTTCACATGTTTATTGAAAGAAACATACCAAGACTTCACAAATTAAATCAATTTCTAGTTTATTCTTTAGGAAACACTGGAAACGTTTATTAGTTTTATTTACTTGAAACGGAGTTGCTTTATTACATTCCCAAGGAAGTTTGGATATGTCAGCCCCTCAGTTTCAGAATACGGGTCACCACTTTCTAAGTCAGAATAGTAGTAAGAACCCCAGGAAAGCTCAGCTAAGCTTTGAGGTCTCTTAGAATCTCTGATCCCTGTGGAAGATGGAAGCAGCACAGAAAAGGCAGCTTGTCCTTTCTTTGAATACTGTTCCACCAATTAAGATTAGCAATGTAATACTAAGAACAAGACTGACTTATCCGATGTACATCATTGTCTGCAGTTTTTCCAGTAGGATCATGGCCAGGTCTTGATAAAGTTCAATTTAAACAAAAATTAATGTCTATCTAAACAAAGGCATTAAAGCCATTGTTATTTATAACTTGTTCACATGATCAATATTCAAAAAGTCCTGTGGCTGATGCTAAAGTTGCAATATATAATATCATATGTATATAAACTTTTTATTAAAAGATTCTAAAAAGAATTATAAAGCAGGCTTTTGTATTTGAGGAATAGAAGGGAATTTAGAGCAGGTGGGAAAATTTTTTCAAAAATTGGCACATCATGACTTTTTTTGGTAACTGCTACTAAACACTCGAAAAGCTAAGATACATAGGTGAGGAAAATAATGTATAATCACCTTCTTTTCCATTTAAATTTACATTTTAGATTTTAGACCTTTTTAACTTAGATACTACACATTATGAAAGTATGATTGATTCAACAAACAAAATAAAACAATTTTATATTTTCTTGATTCAGCAGCTATAATTATAGATTTTGTTAATGTCACAGGAAATTGAGTTCAGCTTGCCGATACCAAGAAATTAACTTCCTTGCTATGTTCCATTATGAATGTTAAATATTTGTTACTAGCCTCAGAATTTTAAATTCAAAATACATTTCCTGTGTGGTCACTATTTTTTCTGATTATTCTTTCCTGGCCATAAACTTCGGCTATTAAAATAAGCAAATAATTATTACTAAGAAAACTACTTACTTTTTTTGTTTGTTTAAGACAGAGTCTTGCTCTGTCGCCAGGCTGGAGTGCAGTGGCATGATCTCAGCTCACTACAATCTTCGTCTCCCAGGTTCTAGCGATTCTCCTGCCTCAGCCTCCTGAGAGTTGGGATTACAAGCACGCATTACCATGCCCAGCTAATTTTTGTATTTTTTTTTTTTTTTTTTTTTTTTTTTGAGACGGAGTTTCGCTCTTGTTACCCGGGCTGGAGTGCAATGGCGCAATCTCGGCTCACGGCAACCTCCACCTCCTGGGTTCAGGCAATTCTCCTGCCACAGCCTCCTGAGTAGCTGGGATTACAGGCACGCGCCACCGTGCCCAGCTAATTTTTTGTATTTTTAGTAGAGACGGGGTTTCACCATGTTGACCAGGATGGTCTCCATCTCTTGACCTCGTGATCCACCCGCCTCGGCCTCCCGAAGTGCTGGGATTACAGGTTTGAGCCACCGCGCCCAGCCAATTTTTGTATTTTTAGTAGAGAACGGGTTTCACCATGTTGGCCAGGATGGTCTCGATCTCCTGACCTCGTGATCCGCCCACCTAGGCTTCCCAAAGAGCTGGTAGTACAGGCGTGAGCCCAACGCAGCCGGCCCACTACTTTCTATTTCTAATCACAGTGAATTAGAACAGGAAGGGATTTTAAGTATTGCCTAGTTCAACATTAACCAAGAAGCTCCCAGACTTTGCATTTTGCTTGTAATAGTAATTAATGTGTTTTTTAAAAGTTCAAATTTATGTTTGCGTTTAGCCTTTAAGTTTGCCATTGAGGAAAGCAAAACATAATCAATTTACATTTTTCCATTAAAATTTACATTCTAGGCCGGGCGCGGTGGCTCAAGCCTGTAATCCCAGCACTTCGGGAGGCCGAGGCGGGTGGATCATGAGGTCAAGAGATCGAGACCATCCTGGTCAACATGGTGAAACCCCGTCTCTACTAAAGATACAAAAAATTAGCTGGGCGTGGTGGCGCATGCCTGTAATCCCAGCTACTCAGGAGGCTGAGGCAGGAGAATTGCCTGAACCCAGGAGGCGGAGGTTGCTGTGAGCCGAGATCGCGCCATTGCACTCCAGCCTGGTGACAAGAGCGAAACTCCGCCTCAAAAAAAAAATTTACATTGTAGGTCCAGGAGCGGTGGCTCACGCCTATAATCCCAGCACTTTGGGAGGCCGAGGCTGGTGGATCAAAAAGTTAGACCGTGCCATTACACTCCAGTCTGGGTAACAACAGCGAAACTCCATCTCAAAAAAAATTAAATTAAATTAAATTTACATTCTAGATAGGTTAGCAAATTTTTAATACCATAGTGGTAGTGCTGGCTAAAGTTCCCAAAATCTCACCGATTGTGAGTATTTCATGTTAACTGTAGCAACTCTCTATGGGAGAGATATACACAGGTATGTAGTAAAAGGGAAATTAGCTTTGGAATTTAAAATGTAGTAGCCAAGAGGTTTTGGTCCCAGCTTTAATAGTAAATAATTTGACATCAGGTAAATAATCCTCTTAGTCTATTTTTTTGCTATAACTGACTACCTGAGACTGGGTAATTTATAAAGAGACTTCTTACAATTCTGGATGCTGGGAAGTCCGAGAGGGTGACAGTAGTATCTGGAGAGGTCCTTGTGTACTTTAACATGGCAGAAGGCAGTTGCATAGCAAGAGAGCAAGAGTGCCTATCAGCTCAGGCCAC